CATACAGCAGACAGATTAATGTATGCTATAATCAGGAAGTAGATTGTGTTCCGAAGAAAAATAAAGCCGGTTAAGCCCTAGCCGGTTTGGCTCAGTGGATAGAGCACTGGCCCGAGGACTGAAGGGTCCTGAGTTTGATTATGATCGAGGACCCTGGCCCTGGTCAGATGTGCGGGAGGCCACCAAGAGACACCTCGGCGTTTCTCTCTCTGTCTCTCCCCTCCCCCCCACTCTCTCTAAAATCAATGGGAAAATATCCTCAGGTGAGGATTAACAAAAACAAACAAATAAAGCCGGTTAAAAGGATAAACGATGATGTGGTGGGTCTGGAACTGCTCTATACAGGATGGAGTGCAGACTCCTGATAAGGTTGTATGAGACCTGAAGAAGGAAGGAGAGGATGGTGTGTGTGATCGGATTTGCATTTACATAAAGAGCCTGTTAAGTTCGGAGTTCAGCAACTGAGAACCTCCAACAAGTTGCGCCAGCTTGGATACTAGTCACAAAATTAAACATGAGATACAGCACCAGAGTAAAAGCCAGCTTCTATTTTTTTAACTTTTGGAAAGTAGCCTCGTAAAAACGAGGCCTCAAAAAATTGAGTAAAAACTCATAACTGTTCCTCTCCACGGAAATCTTTAGTAAAAGGCGAAAGATTTATGCGATCTGAAGAGAAACCAGAGTATGCCCGCCGCCCTCCGCCCGGAAGGCTTAGAGCACGCTCACCCCCAGCTCAGTTACGGTGGCCGAGTGCCCGCGGGCCCGCGCCCCGCCCGGCGTTTGCAGAGACCCTGCCTTTCTCACAGCGGCGTGCCCGGCGGCAGCGGGAGGTTCCCGCGGGTGGGAATCCGCGCGGGGACTGGTTTCGTGGTGCACGATGGGTATGCAAATCACAGGCCGCTCGGGGCGAGGCCGCGACACCAGCTGCCCTCGCGGGGCGGCGCCGTCGGACCCGGGGCGGCAACTCTTCCCTCTTCTCTGCGGGTCCGCCGGGAACCGCGCCCGGTTTGCCTGGGAAGAAAGGGCGTTTCCCGCCGGGGCCGGGTGCCTAGTTCCTTATGGGGCTGGGATTAAGTAAGTCCCCATCGTTGAGGTTCAGTCCGAGCCTTCCATACCCGCAGGGACCCCACAGCTGTAGGGACAGAAGCGGAGACCGTCCCGCACAGACATTAGGGGCCACGGGAGAGGCGCAGCGCCAGCACCCCCGAAGGAGGCGGCATCCGAGGTGTCCGAAGGATAGTCCCGTCAAGGGGAGGGCACCGTGCTCCAGCGGGGGGAATGGGTGTGAAATTCGGGCGGTGAAGCAGCCCCGGTGCAGCAGGGCGTCTGAATGAGGGCGTGTCTGCAGGGCGCTGCCCAGGGCTGGGGTGACGGCGGAGGCTAAATGGAGTTGGGCCTGGAAACAGCGCGGATTTGATCTTGTCAGTGATCGGGAGGGGTGAGGGTGTTGAAGTCGGAGTCTTGTGAGGTGCCATCCAGGTTGCACTGCCCTGCAAGCTCGGACGTGTCCCAGAGACCGGATGTGGTCAGCGTCCCAGGACTGACCACTCCAGTGGCCGTGGAGCTCCCTGGCGGGAATCCCTTCAGCTGCAGCCACACCAGGACACACCCTTCATTCCACGTTTCAGGGTTTCTCCCTAAGCATGCAGTCACAGCAAAATCTTTCGAAAAAAGCTCACATCTATACAAACTACAAACACAGCACTTAGGAGATGCCAGGTCATTTCATTTTTTTTTTTTTTAATATATTTTTACTGATTTCAGAGAGGAAGGGAGAGGGAGAAAGAGATAGAATCGTCAATGATGAGAATCACCGACTGGCTGCCTCCTGCACGCCCCCCACTGGGGATGGAGCCCGCAACCCAGGCCTGTGCCCTTTGCTGGAATCGAAGCTGGACCCTTCAGTCCGCAGGCCGATGCTCTATCCACTGAGCCAAACCAGCTGGGGCGCCAGGTCATTTCTTTATTTTTTTTTTCAAAGGTAGAGATTTATTGAAGAACAGGTACAGACTCCCACGTGGGGAAGAGGAAAGAACTTCACAGCACAGACTCCCATGTGGGGAGGGGGAAAGAGTCCCTGTGTTTCCAGTTTTGGTTTTAGAGATGCCCTATCATTTAAGGCCTCGGCAACCTCCCCGGGAGGGCCGTATTTTCAACTCTAGACGCATCAACTGACTTTCCAGGCAAGGGCCCAGGATTTTCTTTTGTGGTGGGGCCGGGGCAGGGCTTTTGTTGACAGTCAGGCTTCAGGTAGTAATCTCTTTAGTTCTGTCTTGTCACCAACTCCTCTGGAAACCCCCTGGGGGATCTCTTCCATAGATTTCCTGGGATTTCTCATCACCACTCCCCCCCCAATCAAAGGCTTCAGGTCTGATGACCTTCCAGGTACTCTCTCTCAACTGATTCTTCCTCCACATCTTCCAATTACATATATGTTCAGCCGCTAACATGACGTCAGCCCGATGACCTCCAGGCTCTCTAAACCTAACATGCCAGAACACCAGCAGCTGCCTACTTCAGAGCATTCTTCCCAAAAATGTTAACCCAAGTCTAATCAAGACTCTGACTTATTGTCCAGTTTACAGGAAACGCAGGGGCAGAGGAACAGGTTAAACACCATCATGAGGAAGCACCAGCCAATGGCAGAACGTGGGGCCTTCTTGGATAACTGGCTTGGTCACGTCAAATGTCAAACAAAAGTCATGGAAGGCAGCCTGCCTTTCTTCTATGTATGTATGTACGTATTTGTTTATTTCAGTCTGGCTTTCTTAAAGATAAAAAAAAAGAAGTCATGGCAAACATGAGGTGGGAACATTATAAGATACTGAAGAGATACAAGGACCACTGTCATACACGATCCTTGATTAGTATATAGTTCAGGAGAAGAACCATCTACCAAAGACATTTTGGGAAAATTTGAATATGGAAGAGCATTAGATATTAGAGAATTATTTACTGGGTGGTTTTGTGGCTTTGTAGGAGACTATCCTGACGATTTGGAGAAGTTTGCTAAGTGTTTAGGTGAGAAGTATCAGGCTGCCTGTAATACACTTGGAAATGGTTCAGAAAAAATCTCTTTTTCTACTAAACAAATGTGGCAAAGTGTTAACATATATTGAATCTAGGTATATTGGTTATATTTCTCTTTTTCTGTATGTTTAAAAAAAATCACAATAGCACTGGCCGGGTAGCTCAGTTGGTTCGAGCATCGTCCCAATATGCCAAGGTTTTGATCCCCTGTCAGGGCACATACAGGAATCAACCAATGAATATATAAGTAACTGGAACAATAAATCAACGTTTCTTACTCTTTCTCCCTCTCCCTCGCCAGGTCATTTCTTACATAAGGATTTTATTTAAAATCCTGAAAGAAAAAGATAGCACCCTACAAGATAGGCTCTAATCGTCCCATTTCTTTCTTTCTTTTTTTTTTTTAAATATATTTTATTGATTTTTTACAGAGAGGAAGGGAGAGAGATAGAGAGCCAGAAACATCGATGAGAGAGAAACATCGATCAGCTGCCTCCTGCACATCCCCCACTGGGGATGTGCCCGCAACCCAGGTACATGCCCTTGACCGGAATCGAACCCAGGACCCCCCAGTCCGCAGGCCGACACTCTATCCACTGAGCCAAACCGGTTTCGGCCCATTTCTTTTTTAAAAAAAATATATTTTTATTGATTTTTTACAGAGAGGAAGGGGAAGGGATAGAGAATTAGAAACATAGAGCAGCTGCCTTCTGCACACCCCCCACTGGGGACAGAGCTCACAACCAAGGTGCATGCCCTGGACCAGAATCAAACCTGGGACCTTCAGTCCGAGGCCCAATGCTCTAACCACTGAGCCAAGTCAGGGCTAATCTTTCCATTTCACAGAGGAAGACACTGGGGCTTGGGTGTTAACTGTCACAGGTCACTCAGCTGGTAAGTGGCACAGTCGGGGACAGCTTTTGCATGTTCCAGTCTTGTAAGCTCTTCTGCTCCACCCAAAAGCTCCTAGTGACCCAAACACCCCCGGACCCAAATCCAGCCAACTTCCATCCCTTGGACACCTTGGGTACACCCCCAGTCTAGTTTCCAAGCCAACTACTGTACTCACGTCTCGTAAGTCTTTTTAGGTATTTTAGTGTTGATTCAGCTGCATTAGGCTTAGTTTTTTCATTTTTGGTCAGAACATGATTATCTGGCCTTTGGGGTGGAAGATGAAGTGTGAGAAGGCAGTGCTCTCAGGGTGGGATTGTTCCTGGTGAGTGGGTGGCTGAGACTGAGCCCCGGAATAGTTAGGGAAAGGCAACAAAAGATCCGCCCCCCCACCCCTACCCTATGGACTGAGCCCAGTACTCTAGTCCAGGGGTGTGGCCAGAGTCTGCAAGACCTCTCTGCAAGGGGACTGTTCAACCTTCATAGAACAAACATCTTCAATACAGTGCCTCACTGGTTCCTAGCACAATTTCTGAACAGTTCCCCACTGATCCCCTGGATGTCTGGCCTCTGGGGTGCCAGGCTGACTGCTAACCTATAGAGGCCTCTGCCTTGAGGTTGGTCTGAGCACAAAACTGAAATATCTCCCCAGACCCTGAAGGCCCCATCTCTTCCATGGGCTACTTTCCTGATCTCCCATCGCACTTCCCATCTGCTGACGGCTGTGCCCTCATCCATGCCTGGCATGCTGCTGAAACAGGAAGGGGGCAAGGCGCCTGGGGTTGTGCAGGGCTGGATTATCGTGGCTGAAAGCCACACAGCAGCGTTTGACACTAAAAACATTTAGATCATGTTGTACGCTAAGCACTCAACCCAGACCATTACCAAGCACATGACTGATATGTTTGCTGAACATCACCTTCACTCCTAGGTGAATAGACTGCGGGCATGTGACAAACACTGAGAACCTGGGGCCTTTCCCACCCAGGAATAGAGCAGCCCTAGGACCTTAGGTCCTGACATTTCTACTTGGAAACTCCCAACTCTGTCGTAAAGAAAAGCATCAAAGCCATTTGAGATGAGTTCATATAGAATATATTTCACTCTTTAAAAATAAAACTTTCAGCATAGCTAACATCTGTACAAACTACAAAAATAAACATCTTCATATAAATAATTTATGTGGTAGGAGGTAGGCAGGGATACAGAGAGCCTACCCAGGAGTCACCAGGCAGTGGGGGCCAGGACCAGCAAAGGGTGCTAGAGGGTCCCTCAGGCTTGGTGGGCTGGGGGCAGCAGTGTGGGGTGCTGGTTTTACTCCTACCCAGACACAGGGACAGGCACGCGGGACCCAGTGTGGGAGGCTGTTCACAGCCTAGGTGCTGGTTCTGTGCAGACGTCAGGGAGGTCTGTGATGGCCGAGTCAGGGGAGGGGGTGCAGGCAGGCAGGCGGCAGCAGCAGAGCTCTCCAGGAGTCCTCCCTGCACTCAGTAACCACCCACTGCTTTCCAGTGACTTCACGTGGCCCAAGCAGGGCCTCCATGCTTCAGCTGCGCTTTCACTCCGGGGCTGGACATGGTCCCCTAGAAGTGAGGTTGCTGGAGCCGTTGGCAGCCGGTGTGGCAGCAGGGGACCAAGGAGGCTCATCAGAGGCTGGGTGGATGTAGGCACCGGGCAGTGGGGGCGGGTGGAGGGCCACGGTCATGGAGGTAGTCACTCTGGCGAAGCTCTGGGGCAGGGTGGGGGACAACCCCCACCTGAGCCCTCCTGCTCGTGGAGCTGGGGGCCTCAGGGCCTCGGGGCTCTCTTTGTACATCTGCACCACCTGGGGAGAGACACCGGCCCGTGAGCGCAGGGCTGGAGCCCCGATCCCCTCAGTACCTGCCTGGTGCATTGCCATGGCTGTTGGGAAGCTGGGCCCTTGTTGGCCTCCAGCAGGATATGACACCTGCCAAGGGACAGGTGTCAAGGCCTGGACAAACCGTGCACCTTGCTCTGGACCCTGGAGGCTAAGGTGGGTTCTGTAAAGAAGCCAGGAGAGATGCGGGGCAGGCCACGGTGTCAGGGCAAAGGGGAGGCTGCCGCCTTCAGTTGGTAGCGCCTTGTGGGGAGGATCCTTGGGAGCTGAGCCCTGACTCTTGGCCGCTGAGGGCACTTTGTTCTGGCTTTGACCCTTTCCCTGCCTGTCCCACTCAGTCCCCTGGGCCAGGAGCAGAGGGAGGGCCTGGTCACCTCTGGTGGGGGGCCCAGGATGGACAGCAGCACAGGCAGCAGCACGAGCCCATGGAGGAGGCCCAGGAGTGTGAGCACCGTCAGCACCACGAAGAAGTACCTGGTGGGGGTGGGAGGTCAGCCTGGGCAGGCCCCGAGGTCAGCACGGGCAGCCCTGCCCCCCTGCCCTGCGCACCCCTCTACCTTACGATGAAGTCAAAGTTGGAACCAGCAAGCATGAGCAGACCCAGCAACGTGGAGACGGCCCCATCGGTCACTGGGGCGAACGTGTGCTCGAGGGCCCGGGCAGCCCGCAGGTTCCGGCTGCCCTGGGTGGTCAGGAAGCCCTGGGGGAACAAGTGGTCTGGGAGCGGCTCCTCAGCCAAGCAGGGCCAGCTCTGCTAGGTGCCCGCTGCCGTCATCTGCCCCTGGGGCACCCATGCCCTGACCCACAGGAGGCCGATGCGCCGAGCGCCTGGGAGCTGTCCAGGCAGCGTGCACGAGTCCGTTTAGGTGGCACTGTACAGAGGTGTCTGGTGAGACACAGAGCACTGTCCACAACAGGTTGGCAAACTACAGCCCGTCACCTGTTTTTGTAAATAAAGTTTTGTTTAAACACAGCCACACCCATTCACTTCTGTAGTGTCTGTCTCTGCTTTAAGGCTACAATGGCAGAGATGCAATGAAGACTATAGGGCTCGCCAAGCCTAAAATATTTACCACCTGGGCCTTTACAGAAACAGCTGGCCTCCCTGGCCTGGGAGGTGGACACCACTGTGCTGTCACTTCTCAGGGCGGCGTTTCTATTCTTTGCACTTCTCCGCATGCTGCCTTCTGCCCCCTCCCCCCCGCAGGGGTATAGTTCTTATGATCAGAACAGTAACAGGGCTATTGTGAGTGGAAAAAGAAGGGAGCTGTTTGTGTTGGTGCCTCCAGCTGGTCGAGGCCCCTCGACGTCCCACTCCTCCCTGTGGGGGAGCTTGAAGCTTTGCCAGGCCGGTGCCTGCCTCCGTTCTCCGGGCCTGTCTTGCCAGGAGCCCGTCTGCCCCGCATTGCCATCTGCCTCCATCCGTTTCTCTGACCCCCTTCACAGTGAGGCCACCCAAAAGCAGCACTGGGTCCCGTTTTCTCTCCTTCCACTCTGCTCAGGGGTTTGTCCCTCCTCTCGACTGCAATGGCTGCTTATTTATTTGCTTACTTGTTTACCACTGTCCTCTAGAACAGGGGTCCTCAAACTTTTTAAACAGGGGGCCAGTTCACTGTCCCTCAGACTGTTGGAGGGCCAGACTATAGTTTAAAAAAAAACTATGAACAAATTCCTATGCACACTGCACATATCTTATTTTGAAGTAAAACGGGAACAAATACAATATTTGTATTTGCATGTGGCCCGCAGGCCGTAGTTTGAGGACCCCTGCTCTAGAATATAAGCTCCTTGAAGGTAAAGCCTGCCTGTACTGCTATCACAGCCCCAATTCCGAAGTAGTCCCCAGCACATAGTAGGTGTTTGGTAAGTATGTGCTGCATCCTGAATCAGCTGGCCCACGCCTCCCCCAGTGCCAATGCTCACCAGAGCCACATGGACTGTGAACTCGACACCGATGCCCACAGAGGCCACAAGGATCACCACGGGGATGGCGCTCAGCTTGATGCCCAGGAAACCCATGATGCCAAAGAGCTCCACGGTCATCACGGCCAGGACCAGCACCTGGGGAGGGCAGAGCTCAGCCAGGGCTCCTGGGAGGAGGGGTGATGGGACGGGCAGGAGAGGGTGGGGAGCCCTGGGTCTCTCCAGCCCCAACCCTGCAGAGACTCACTATGAGGCCGGCTGTCCAGGGGTTGAGCAGCAGCAGGGCACAGACCAGGAAAGTGCACACCAGCAGGATGCAGACCGCCAGCAGGAAGCAGCGCCGCAGGCCCAGGTACTGCTCCCAGAAGAGGAAGGGGGAGCCGCTGGGGTAGGCACGCACCCCGGCCTGGCCTGCCTCGGCGCATGCTGCCCGGGCCCCCTCGATGGCCTCCACAAAGTCCTCTGTCTTCTGGAGGCCGCGCAGTAGGAAGGGGAACTGGGCAAACTCCAGGGGCTGGGCCGCCGGGACTGTGGAGGGGAGGGGGCGGCAAGGAGAGGAGGGGTGGCCAGTGAGCACGGGGAGCAGTGGGCAGGGCCTTTGGGTAGGGCCTGTGTGGCCCAGGCCGAGGCTCTTCTGCCCCCCTCCCCCTCCCCTTGGGACTCACTGCGCAGGTTCTCCCCGGTGGTGTCATACTTGTCGTGCAGCCACTCGGGGGGTGGGGGGTAGAAGTTGGCCTGCGAGGCCGCCAGGCCCAGGGGGTCACTGCTCACCCACACGGTCAGCCCCACGTAGAAGAGCTCGGGTGGAACCAGCCCCTCCGTGTCCACCAGCTTCCTCGTGGTCAGCTGCGGAGGCAGGGAGGGCTGAAGGCCTGGGCCCCTGAGGCCGGGTCCCCTGTGCCCCCAAGCCGTCCAGCCCTCCCCCCACCTGGCTGAAATCCAGAGGCTCCCGGGCATCCCCGGTCTGGATGAGCAGCTTGTAGGCCAGGGCCCCATCCTCAGAGCCATTGCGGTAGGAGTGGCGGGTAATGCGCCCAGAAGCCCAGTCCTGGTCAAACGCAGCCTGGATTCCTGGGGAGGACAGGGAGGGTGCAGTCAGCCCGGGCCGGGGTTCTGCCGGCAGCAGCCTCCCGCAGTCCCCTCGCCTCACCCTGCAGCCAGTTGCGGTAATAGTGCAGCCAGGTGCGGGGCGCCTGAGTGGCAGGTGGCGGCAGCACGGCCTTGAGGGAACTGAAGCGCTGGTGCAGATCAAAGAGGGCGCGTTGGGCGTGGGCGTAGTCAAAGCCACCCTGTGTCACCAGGGCCACCTCGTACAGGGAGAAGTACCTGAGCTGGGCGCTCAGGAAGGCATGCTCCTTGGTGCCCCGCGGCACCACGTCGGTCAGGGCCAGCCCGTCCTGCACCAAGGTCGCTCCGTAGAGGCTCAGGCCCAGAAGAGCCCCAAAGAGGACCAGCACCACAGCCTGCGGGAGACGACAGCTCCGATGGAGGCCCAGGGACACCCCCAGTCAGCGGGTGGTGGGCTCGGCCCCTGCCCTTGGGGCCCAGGGACACCTAAGTGCCTGCCCCCGTCCGCCCCCACTCCTCTGGGCTTGGACTTTTTTTTTTTTTAAATATATTTTATTGATTTTTTTTACAGAGAGGAAGGGAGAGGCATAGAGAGTTAGAAACATCATCAGCTGCCTCCTGCACACCTCCTACTGGGGATGTGCCTGCAACCAAGGTACATGCCCTCGACCGGACTCGAACCTGGGACCCTTCAGTCCACAGGCTGACGCTCCATCCACTGAGCCAAACCGGTTAGGGCAAGGGCTTGGACTCTTACCTTGGCGCGTGACTGGAGCAGCAAGGGTGCAAACTGATGGCGGGCAAAATGGGCAAGAGTCCAGCGGGCACAGGGCAGAGACTTGTAGGCTGCCTTCTGCCTTGTCCCCTCCTCCTGGCCCAGAAGGTCCCGAGTGGACCCTCCCGGGCTGAACAGCTCAGAGCTCAGTGGATCAGAAGGTGGAGGCACCAGGTGGGCCTGGGGAGGCAGGCTGGTGATCACATGCTGGCTGCTGGAGTCACAGTGGGCGAAGGCGTGAACGGTGGCCGTCAGGTGGGCAATGCCCACTGGTACTGTCCTGTCCGCCAGCTCCTGGGGCAGAATCTGAATCACCCGAGCAGAACAGGGGCTGAAAGGCAGAGAGATGGTGACAGGTCTGTGCCGGGAAATGCCAGTGAGGGGACAGGATGGGGTGCCAAGGGAGGACAGCCTGGTGGGGTGGAGGGGGGTGCAGGGGCAGCACCTGGAGAAGCAGCAGAGCACATCGAGGCGCTGGCAGTGGCGCCGGTGCAGGTCCAGGCTGAGGACCGCTGGGAAGACGAGCATCACGGCTGCAAAGTTGCAGCCAACCACGATGGCCGCCTGGGGACGGACAGGGAGGGCGCAGAGGCTGGATGAAGCAGGCCCGCCCCCCGCCCACCCCGCCCGGCCCTCTTCCTGAAGCCTCACCTGCAAGGAGAAGGCCCGCAGCGCAGGGATGGGAACGAGGGCGGCCATGAAGAAGGCCGCCATGTTGTTGATGGACGTGAGAGCGACGCTGGGGCCGGTGCGGAGCAGACACTCGCCCATGCGCTCCTGCCAGGACAGGGGAGGGGCCTGAGTTGTCGGGGTGCAGTGAAGGGGAGGCGTGGGGACGTGGACGGCCGAGGAGGGACAATGACCACACAGCAGCTAACAGTCCCTGAGCCCACGTGCGGCCCACACACTGTTCCAAGCACTCGACTTGAATTACCTCATCGATCCACACATCAACCTTTATGATACAAGCACAGTTATTACATCCACTTACAGATGAGGGAGCTGAGCAAAGAGGTAAATTACCAGCCCAAGGCCACCCAAACCACGAGGCTCTTAACCCCCGGGCTGAACTCAGACAAGCCCAGGCTGCAGAGGGAAGCGCACCTGCAGAGGGGTGCCAGGTGGGGCCTCTGCGAAGGCGTGTGCCAGCAGGAATATGTCATCCACGCCGATGCCCAGTGCCAAGAAGGGCAGCACCTAGAGGGGCACAGGGCGGGCAGCTGGAGGAACCGGGGAGCCTGAGCTGTGGGCACCCACGTCTGCCCTGCCTCCCGCTGTACCTGGGTGGTGGCAGCATTGAAGGCGATGCCGAGCAGGGCGCAGAGCCCGAGGCCTGAGGCCACTGCCAGGGCCACCAGCAGCACCCCGGCGAGGCCCACGGCACCCTGGGACTGGGCACAGTCCCACCGTAGCATCGTCACACAGGCGTAGGCCAGCTGTGGGGAGAGAGGACGGTCTGGGACAGGGGTTCCCAGGGCAGGCACTGGGCGGAGGGGGGCAAGGTGCCAGGGGCGGGACCCACCATGAGCAGATAGCCTCCGGCTACGCGGGCAGCGCTGACTTCGGAGAAGGCCTGCAGGATGTCATCCAGGGTGGCGGAGGAGAAGGCGTGGATCTGCTGGGACGCGTTCTCGGGCAGGGCCTCCTGGGCCAGCTGGAGACACAGGGTGGGTCTGAGGGGCAGGAGGAGGCGTGGCCTCAGGGCACCGCCCTGCCCTTCTCCACACTGACCTGCACGAAGCGCCGCTGCCAGGCCTGCAGCACGGTGCCCGCCTGCTCCTCGCTCCAGCCGATGTCGTGCGTCTGGTAGTCGCCCCGGAAGTGCTCGTACAGCTGGCGGGGACTCATCAGCAGGAAGGTGCTCTGCAGGGCCTCGGCCCTGGTGGGGGCAGGAGTCCGGGTCAGCGCTGGCCTGGATGCCAGGGGGGGCGTGCCGGGGGCTCTTGACCAAGCTGCCTGGAATTGGAGCGTGAATTCCCAGCCTGGGGTCCCCTTGCCAAGTCCCAGGAGGGCCCTACCTGAGCAGCTGTCCTTGGGGGCTCCTGGCCATGCCTCCCAGCAGCAATTCCTCCTGCCAGTGCATGAACTTGTGGGAGAAACCGTGGCAGCCCCCGCTCAGTTCCTGAGCCACACGGGGAGCCTGGAGGGGGCAGAGGAGGGTCATCACTCAGGGCTCTGGCTGAGGGGAACCGGGTCCCTGGGCTGGTCCCTTCAGGAACCACGGAGCTCTGTAGGCCTGAAGGGCAGATAACTTCTCCTGAGCTTCTTGCCTGGGCTTCAGTGAACAGCTAGTGACCTGCAGAGACGAGGCGAGGCCACAGGGCGGAGCAGGGGCCTGGGCTAGGCTGCTGGGAGGAGCTGGCCTCATTGGGTGCGTTTTGGGGAACGGCCCATATTCACAGGGACACTCGGGAAACCAGGTATGACATCGTGCTTAGCTACTTTTTCTCAGTTTCCCTGTACAAGTCTATTTTGACAAAGTCCAGCCTTTCTGGCTTAGAAAAGGACACAGGAATTCTTGTGCCACGGGCGGGTTCCCTGGGAGAACGGAATGAGAACGGAACACTAGATGTCTAGCACAGTGGGGACAGGGTAACAACATCCGGGAAACGGGGGGCAGAGCTCAGATGCTCCCTCCCATCCCAGGAAGAGAGGAGGGAAAAGCCAGGAAGACAGCCTTTCCCTGGCAGGCCTGCTGGAACCCACCTGCCTGCTGTGGTGGTTGGGAGCGCTAGGCGGGCAGTGAGGGTCATCAGGGTTCAGACAGGGCCGCCCCACGTAGGCCTGGCCCACCTGTGCCTTGGCGAGCAGCTCCCGGAAGCCCTCAAGGGAGGCGAAGGGGCCCAGCTCCTCCAGCAGCTGCTCGGGATCCAGGTTGGTCCACTGGATGTCGGGACGGCCGCTGAGGGGAGAGCCCGTGGCTGGTGAGAATCAGGGATCGATTCCCACCCTCCAAACTGCTGCGAGGGGACCCGTGCTGTACCCCAGCTCCTCCGCGTGGAGGGAATGCAGGCTCGGCTTCCCAGAGCCCCCAGGCTGCTGCAGTAGCCGGGGATGGAGGCAAGGGGCGAGGATGGACATCAGGACAGACGGGAAAGGCTCAGGAAAGCCGGGGGAGTCCCTTCCCAAGCCGTCGACCCTGAGTTCTAGCACATAACCACATGGGCACTGCTCCTAACAGGCTTCCTTTCTGGCCTGGGCAGCAGCGCAGCAGGTACCCAGCTAACTCTCCGTGGCACAGTCTCTTTCTGGGGATCTTTCAAAAAATCTTGGCTCAGGTCCTACAGACCTTCGTGTTTTGTCCCGTCTAGATAAGACAGGTCTGCCTTTCCTTTGGGGCGAGGAGGTGGGGGATGCGGAGAGAGCCCGGCAGCCCTGCTCTGACCGTGGCCTGGGAGGTCACTGGGCCCTTGGTAAGGTTTTGATCGCCTTTACTCCCACCCCTCTTTTCTGCTGGAGACGTCCCTGCACCCACCCAAGACAGGGCAGGGCCCCGGGTGGGGGGCGGGAGAGGGGGAGGGGGGCACTCACGGCAAGTAGGCAGAGCCCCCTTGGAGCTTGGCTCCCTCCCAGAAGCAGTCGAGGGGGGTAAGGATCACGCACGGGAACAGCTTCTCAATCATCTGCCAGGGACACCCCAGGCCCCATGAGTCCTGCCTCGGGGCTCCTTTCTCCATGACCTTTGTGTGGTCCCTCCACACCCCCCACCTCCCGACTTGGCCTCCCAGAGGGCCCTCTCCTTCAGGAAAGGCTCCACCTCCACCCACCGCGCACAGAACAGCTCAGGAGACTCACCCGCTCAATCATGCCATTTTCAATGAGGGGAACTCCTGACTTGTAGCAGATTTTGTTCAAGTCCCAGGACCTGCAGTAGCCGGGGGCACAGGCAGGAGGTCAGCAGAGGGGCATTCCCACTCCAGCCCTGCCCTCGCACGCCTCACCCCCGGCTGCTCGGGGACCAGCCAGACTCACTTTCCATAGAGTGATACTTGCACTTTGCTGGCGGTGAGGGCTGCCTGGAGGTGGAGGCGCAGTGCCTCAGGTGTGAGGACGTTCTCCCCCTCCTGGCGCGGGGTCTGTATCAACATCTGGGAGGTGTACGCAGCCTCCTCGCCCAGCTTCTCCTTGGTGTACTGCAGCTCCTGGCTCACCCGGCTGCCCACTGCCAGAGCGAGGGGGAGAGCGCAGGGGATCAGACTCTGGGGGATGTGGGGCCCTAGCCCACGATGCCCCCCAGGACCAGTGGGAGAAGTGCTGCTGAGCCCTCCCCCCACCTTCTCCCTGATGGCCACCCTGACGCCCCGGCTCAGAACAGGAGTCCGCAGGAAAGCCAGAGCCTCGTGGTGTGGTCCTATGGGATTCTCGCGTGGTCTAAGAACTGACATGAACCAACTGGCTAGGTTTGGGGCAAAAGACTAAAACATGAGACATCAGTTTGAGCTGGGCCAGGGCTGGGATGATGGGGCACTGTGCTGAGGGAGCCCTCACTCAGTTCCTCTCTGAGCTGGTGGGGAAGACGAGGTGACAAAAGGGGCCAATAGGGAGGCTGCCCTGGGAGGCTGCCCTAAAGGACGGGGCTGGGCCGGCTCCTGGCGCAGGCTGCCCAGGCAGTGACTACAGCCACACCGTCCTGCCAAGAGGGCAGGGCAGGGAGCGCCTGGAAACAGTGGGCCTACCGTGGCACAGGCGAGGGGAGGATCGCAGGCTCATAGTGTGACACCTTCACACACTGGGTCCCTCACACAGGAAGTCCCTGGACTCAGCTCATGTCCCTGGCAGCGGTGACAGCAAAGGGGGCCAAGGGGAAGAAAGGGCTCCCGATCCCTTTCACCAGGCTCCCTGCCAGACACCAGGGGTCCCAGTGCCAGGCCCCTCCCGCCCTGCATGGTGCTGGCCATGGAGTCAGGCTCTGTCACTGGGCTTGGGGAGGCGAGGAGCTGACTGGTTTGGAGGAGGGCGAGGGGCTTGGTGCCCTTGGTCTGGTTTTTTTTTTTTTTTTAAATTAAATCTTTATTGTTCAGATTATTACATTTGTTCCTCTTTTTTCCCCCCCCATAACTCCCCTCCTCTCAGTTCCCGCCCCACCCTCCGCCCTCACTCCCCACCCACTGTCCTCATCCATAGGTGCAGGATTTTTGTCCAGTCTCTTCCAGCATCTCCCACACCCCTTTCCCCCCCAAGAACAGTCAGTCCATTCCCTTTCTATGTCCCTGAATCTATTATAATCACCAGTTCATTCTGTTCATCAGATTATTTATTCACTTGATTCTTAGATTCACTTGTTGATAGATGCATATTTGTTGTTCATAATTTGTATCTTTACCTTTTTCTTCCTCTTCCTCTTCTTAAAGGATACCTTTCAGCATTTCATATAATGCTGGTTTGGTGGTGATGAACTCCTTTAGCTTTTCCTTATCTGTGAAGCTCTTTATCTGACCTTCAATTCTGAATGATAGCTTTGCTGGATAAAGTAATCTTGGTTGTAGGTTCTTGGTATTCGTCACTTTGAATATTTCTTGCCACTCCCTTCTGGCCTGCAAAGTTTCTGTTGAGAAATCAGCTGACAGTCGTATGGGTTTTCCCTTGTAGGTAACTGAGTTTCTTTCTCTTGCTGTTTTTAAGATTCTCTCTTTATCTTTTGCTCTTGGCATTTTAATTATGATGTGTCTTGGTGTGGTCCTCTTTGGATTCCTTTTGTTTGGGGTTCTCTGCGCTTCTTGGACCTGTAAGTCCATTTCTTTCACCAGGTGGGGGAAGTTTTCTGTCATTATTTCTTCAAATAGGTTTTCAATATCTTGCTCTCTCTCATCTTCTGGCACCCCTATAATTCTGATGTTGGTATGCTTGAAGCTGTCCCAGAGGCTCCTTACACTATCCTCGCATTTTTGGATTCTTTTTTCATTTTGCTTTTCCGGTTGGGTGTTTTTTGCTTCCTCACATTTCAAATCATTGACTTGATTCTTGCACTCCTCTGGTCTGCTGTCGGGAGTCTGTATAATATTCGTTATTTCAGTCCGTGTATGCTTAATTTCTAGTTGGTTCCCCAATATAAGATCGAGGGTCTCATTAGTTTTCTTGTAGATCTCATTAAGTTTATCGGCAGCTTCTAAACAGTTCTTGAGAGACCTTAAAAGTGTGGTTCTTGCCGAAACCGGTTTGGCTCAGTGGATAGAGCGTCGGCCTGCGGACTGAAAGGTCCCAGGTTCGATTCCGGTCAAGGGCATGTACCTTGGTTGCGGGCACATCCCCAGTGGGGAGTATGCAGGAGGCAGCTGGTCGATGTTTCTCTCTCATCGATGTTTCTAACTCTCTATCTCTCTCCTTTCCTCTCTGTAAAAACTCAATAAAATATATTTAAAAAAAAAAAAAGTGTGGTTCTGAACTCTATATCTTCCATTGACAATTTTGTCCTGTTTCTTTGTCTCCGCATTTTGTTATGCTTCCTTGGTGCACCCCCTAGTGGTCTTTGTGCGCAGTCTTATAGTTAAACCTTGATTGTTGTAGCTAATACCAGGGAGGGTTTGACCTCCAGGCCAAGTGGCTATGAGAATCAGCTGTGTCTGCAGTGAGAGAACTTCTGTCCTCTAGGGAGGTGCTAATCTAGCCTTTGCCTGAGGCTATCCGGCAAATGCCTCTGTGCAGGGCTTGGGCGGGGCGGGTCGCACAGGATCAACAGGGTGGGCCGGAGAGAGCAGTTATGGCGGCTCTCAGTCCTGTCCCCAGGGGCTCTGCCTCTCTGAGTCCCAGCACCCGCTGCAAACCTCGGAGAGAAAGCTGCACTCGCTCTGACCGAAGCCAGACAGTCCCGCTTCTCCCGTTTGAGTCTGGGTCCCTAAAGGCTCGCCTGTATCTGGAGCTCAGAGTCTGCGACTCCCTCCCGATTGAAAACGCCAACCGCGCCCTCCGCCGCCAGCCCGCTCCGCGCACTCCGCACCTCAGAATTTGACTTCAGCACTGCGCCTCCTCTGAGTGTCCGTATGTGTTTCTCTTTCCTCCTAGTTGTAGGACTTCCACTCAGCCAGCGTTCCTGTGGTTCTGGGTGATGTCCGTTCAGTTTTTTAGTTTCACTTTTGAAGTAGTTGTTCAAGGCAGCAAACTCCGGCGTTAACCTATGCCGCCATCTTGGTTCTCCTGGTCTGGTCTTAGACCCAGTTCTGCCTCTACCTACCCGGGCCCACACGCACTGCCTCTCTGAGATGCCAGTCCCACTGGCATCATCATGCTCCCCAATCTTTTTCAAACCCACACAATCTTCTCACTCAAGAGAGCCCCAAACCCTTGGTTCCCCCCAAAACAGATCTGCCTTACTTACATCCCCCCACCCAAACCCCATTTCTGGCCCTCCCTCCATGAACCCAGTTTCACACAGCCACCTTGCCCCCTTCCACCTACTCTTTTTTTTTTGAGAGAGAGGAAGGAAGGGAAAGGGAGGGAGAAAGGGATGGGGGGTTGGGGAGAAAGAGAGAAAGGGACATCCATTGCTTACCTCCCATACGAGCCCAGACCAGGGATTAAACTTTCAACCTGTGTATGTGCCCTGACCAGGAATCGAACCTGCAACCTTTTGGTGTATGGGATGACGCTCTAACCACTGAGAAACCTGGCCAGGGCATCCACCTACTCTTTTTCTCCCCCCTGACTCCCCACTCCTCTCCCAGGCCTGTACTATAGTGCTTATGTCACCAAGCTCAGGCCAGAGCTGCCACGAGGAAGGATGCGAGGGGAGGACAGGGATCAGCTCCCCATAGTGAGTGGGTGTGCTGAGGCGAAGGAGGGAGGGCAGAAGGAAGGAACCCAGAGAGAACTAATAAGAAAGCAGGAGAAAGAAACACTGACAATTTCAAATACAACATCAAAGAGAATAAAGAATCCTGAGAAAAAACGAGGAGAGAAAAGATCAAGCTTGGCTGACAGTGACATGATAGATACGGGGACAGATGACCTGGGATGTACTAAACGAGCAAAAAGAGAGGGTGGTGCGGGGGAGAGCAAGCAGGCTCTGTGCAGACCTGGCTTTGAGCCTTGGCTCTGACACTCAGTCTGTGCTTGGGGCAAAGTACGTTCTTAGTCTCTGACCCTCAATTTCCTCATCTGTAAAACGGAGACAACGCCTACCTCGGTGAATTACAATAAATGCAGGCACAGTCCTTACAAAATTGCCCAGCACGTAGTAGGCACAGATTACTCAATCGATGCTGGGAGGGAAATGATGTGACAGAAAAATGAGAAAGAACTGGAGAAAAAAATGACTGTAAGTGAGCGGGGAGGAAATAGAATGGGAGGAGACATCAAAATCGACATTTGCACCCGAGCCGGTTTGGCTCAGTGACTGGAAGGGTCCCGGATTCGAATCCGATCAGGGGCGTGTTCCTCAGTTGCGATTTGATCCCCAGCCCTGGTCCCGGCTCTTGTGGAGGCAACCAATCGATGTGTCTCTTGCATCAATGCTTCTCTCTGTCTCTCCCGCCCCCCCCCCCCCCCGCTTTTACACTCTCTAGAAATCAATGAAAAAATATCCTTGAGTGAGGATTAATAAAAACAAAAATCGATATTTGTTAAAACTTTCATGCCTACAAAAGGAAGAATATAACTAGTCAGCCGGCATGAGCATGGAAAAAGCCCACCTTATAGCTAATCCTATAAATGCAAATTAAAAAGGGCAATAGCCCTAGCTGGTCTGGCTCAGTGGATGGAGCGTCGGCCTGGGGACTGAAGGGTCCCGGGTTTGGTTCCGGTCAAGGGCATGTACCTGGGTTGTGGGCACATCCCCAGTGGGGGGTGTGCAGGAGGCAGCTGATCGATGTTTCTCTCATCGATGTTTCTATCTCTCTATCCCTTTCCCTTCCTCTCTGTAAAAAATCAATAAAATATATATTTTTAAAAAGAGCAATACTATCTATCAAATTAGCAAAAATAAAATGTTGATAGCACTCATTGCTGGCTTATAAGAGTGATAGGCCCTAACCGGTTTGGCTCAGTGGATAGAGAGTCGGCCTGCGGACTGAAAGGTCCCGGGTTCGGTTCTGGTCAAGGGCATGTACCTGGGTTGTGGGCACATCTCCAGTAGGGAGTGTGCAGGAGGCAGCTGATCGATGTTTCTCTCTCATCGATGTTTCTAACTCTCTCTCTCTCTCCCTTCCTCTCTGTAAAAAATCAATAAAAATATATTAAAAAATATATATATATTTAAAAGAGTGATAGAAACATCAACGATGAGAGAGAATCATTGCTCAGCTGCCTCCTGCACACCCCCCACTGGGGATTAAGCTCGAAACCTGGGCATGTGCCTTGACAGGGAATCGAACTGTAACCTCCTGGTTCATAGGTCGACGCTCAACCACTGAACCACACTGGCTGGGCGATTTAAAAAAAGGAGTTAGATTGTGGAGGGCCTAGAAAGTGTGCTAAGAAGCTTGGCCTTGATTCTGGAGCCTCCCCAGCACCTATAGAAAGTGATGGAGGGACTCTTAACAGGGACGGACTAGGCAAGATTTGGATGCACCACAGGAGGGCAGTGTGGAGGCAGATTTGAAGGTGAGAGGGACAGGATCAGTCCCTCTCTAACAGACCTTGCTTTTCTTGGCCATCCCCTGAAGGGCCTAATGATTCAGGGAAGCTGAGCCCCTTCCCAGCCTGGGGGGGATGGGAGGGAGGGGGTATGGGGGGGAGGAGGGTATCTGATTAGTCTATTACAGTGGTCGGCAAACTGCGGCTCGGCAAACCAAACCGCAGCTTGGGAGCCACACGCGGCTCTTTGGCCCCTTGAGTGTGGCTCTTCCACAAAATACCGACTTCTGCGCATGGGCCACGAAGTTTCAATCGCACTGTACGTGCACACCTGCACGTGGTATTTTGTGGAAGAGCCACACTCGAGGGGCCAAAGAGCCGCATGTGGCTCGGGAGCCGTGGTTTGCCGACCACGGGTCTAAGAAGTCAATCACAGTAATTCCACTGCCTTCCCCAGTGAAGAATTTAGGCACAGGGTGCTGCCCATTCTTGCCAACGTGACCATAGTGGGAAGTGAGCTGGGAGGCTTCTGGTACTGAAGCAACCATGACAAGGAGGTGACAAGTCTGAGGATGAAAGCCCAACACGCTGAGGCAGGCAGAGGAGAAAGGTACTTAGGCATTAGTCCTGAGGTTGCTGAATTAACCACCCTGGAACTTCTCTACTGTCTACTGCCAGATTTCCTGTTGCAGGGGATGACAACTTCATCTTCTCCCTTCCTCCCCCCCGCTTTCCTTTCTCTTTCATGTGGCTAAAAGCATTCCAAACGATACAATCAGAAATGTCCTGCAGGAGAGTGAGAAAGGCTTCCACTGGTCAATGTCAAGGGCCATTGGGATATTTATAACATCAATCACAGTCCATACGAAATTGTCAACTTAGAAGCAAGCCTGCTGTATTTGGTCAAACATTTAATTAACTCACCCCTAATGCCTTAGCAGGTCCAGACCAAATGATTTCTCGGGCCTTATATGGGCCTGCGGGCTGGATGTTCCCCACCCCTGAACTAGAGCAATGGCCACGAAGGTGAGAAGGAGGGTCTGTAATGAGAGAAGGTAAGAAGGAAGAATTTGCTGGTTTAGTAACCAATTAGGTGAGCAAGGAGAACTGAGGCTGACCTCTAAGGTTATAGAAAGAAAATCTAAGTATTTCAATGGATTTCAGTGGTTCTACCAACTGCTGATGTGTGGCCATCCCTTGCCTTCTAGATAGAATGGCGATGTATTTCTTATTTTCAGGGACAGCTCCAATTTCAAACCATCTCTATCACTGTTTCTGTAAGTACCATTTGGGCTTTTCATTTTAACGATCTATTTCTGAGACCTTTCGTCTTTTCTTTAAGTTAATCAGAAAGGACAAGTCACATTCCAACTCTCACCAAGGCAAAGCTGGAGCTGGAGAAGACCCTGAACTCCGGTCTAGAACTCGGATAGCCAATGTCTCGCTTCTTTCTTTGCTTTCTGTGTTAGTAACATGGAAAGGAATAGAACGTTCCTTTCCATCCTCACCTAGATTAGCTCCTCACTGAATAGGGCAGTGATGGTGAACCTATGACATGTGTGTCAGAGGTGACACGCGAACTCATTTTTTGGGTTGATTTTTCTTTGTTAAATGGCATTTAAATATATAAAATAAATATAAAAAATATAAGTCTTTGTTTTACTATGGTTGCAAAGATCAAAAAATTTCTATATGTGACACGGCACCAGAATTAAGTTAGGGTTTTTCAAAATGCTGACATGCCGAGCTCAAAAGGTTCACCATCACTGGAATAGGGCATTGCTGGGAGAAGCCTCACTACAGAATATAGAGAAAAGATCAGGTCAAGATCACTGCTTTAACCTCTCCCCCAGCCCAAGCCAGTACAGGACAGAACGGTATTCGAAATAAAGGAAAAAGTGCTAGGAATTGGCTACACCACTTACACCACTCTCTCAGCAACAGCAGCAAAAATCTGGTGGGATCTAGCCTGTCCTGGGCTGGGGTGTAGGGGAGAGAATGAAGAAACGTGGAGGTGCAAGCAATGTTGAGATGGGGAAGATTTGCGGAATGGAGAAGGAGGAAGAGGGGGGAGACAGCCTCCATTGTGGCAGGAAATCCAAGAGTAATTTGGGACCACCCAGGCAGCAGTGGTGTGGGTGGGGATGTGTGTATGTGCGTGTATGCACATGTGTGTCCTGGGGCTGGGGGCAGGCAGGCACGCATAAACATTGCCCTCAACCCCAGGCTGGCCTGGAGTGTGTATGTGTGTGAGTCTGCAGAGGGCTGGGGTGGGGTGGGGATGGGGTGTGGGAGCCAGGCAAGCAGGCAGGCAGGCTCTAAGAAACATCTGCTCTGGATCCCAGAGCTTGCCAGCATTTGAAGTAACTCGAGAGTGTGAGACTCTAACCTAGGCCCTGCCCTTGGGTGTGGGCCAGGGCTGGGGGAGGTTTGGGGAACCTACAAATGCAAATTTTTAGGCTAGAACAGAAGGGAGTTTGACTCTGTTAAAGGGCTGCCATATGAAAGCAGGCCCCGGGAAAGGAGATAGTTATGGCAAAATTATTACTAAGAAATAATTTTAGCCGAAACCGGTTTGGCTCAGTGGATAGAGCATCGGCCTGCGGACTGAAAGGTCCCAGGTTCGATTCCGGTCAAGGGCATGTACCTGGGTTGTGGGCACTTCCCCAGTGGGGGATGTGCAGGAGGCAGCTGATCGATGTTTCTCTCTCATCGATGTTTCTAACTCTCTATCTCTCTCCCTTCCTCTCTGTAAAAAATCAATAAAATATATTTAAAAAAAAAAAAAAAAGAAATAATTTTAATCTAATACTTCCATGAGGAAGTGAGGATTTGGTCTCCAGGAAGTGCAGACTGACTAAATGGTTGCAGGGGGCTGGAGGCCTGGGGCCTGGGACCACTCCCTGGAGCCTAGTCAGCCCCCAGCTCTAACTGCTGGTCTCCAGGTCAGATGGGATCTCTCCCTGCCTTCTCTTGTACAACATAATCATATTCTGCGTTGTATTATATTCCAGTACATGTTTTACTTTGCTACTAAAAGATGGGTCTTTAAAAAAAATTGCCTCTGCAAATCCTGCCATGCAGTTCAAAAATACACATAAAAGGCAGGCAATGAATGCTAGACACACACTCACAGATGACTATTCTATATACGTATTCACAGACCCCGTCAGATGTCCACTACGGGTGTGGGTGGGAGCAGTGCTGCCAGGTGCCGGGGCTCCGGCGGGCAGGTGTCCCCTCCAGACCCAGAGCCAAGTCCACTAGAACTCAGTATCAGCTCCCCACTCTGTTCTTCTTTTTTAAAAATTGATGTCAGAGAGGAAGGGAGAGGGACAGAGAAATAGAAAGATCAATGATGACAGAGAATCATTGATGGGCTGCCTCCTGCATGCCCCCTACTGGGGACCGATCCAGCAACCTGGGCATTGGAAATGGCCAGGAAACCGAACCCTGCACGACCTCTTGGTTCCCAGGTCAAGGCTCAACCAGTGAGTCACCTGGGCCAGGCCTCACTCTGTTCTTGTCTGGGGCTCACCATACCCCAGGAGCTCAGTGTCTACAACTCACCTTCCACCCAGAGCTGTTCTAGGTCTGTCTCAATGATGGCCACACGGAGGCCCAGTGCCAGGGCCCCAAAGGCCAGCAGTCCCAGGAAGAGCACTTTGCCACAGTGTCTCTGGATCCTGCAGCCCAGCGAGAAGAGCAGGCCCTGGAAGTAAGCACGAAGCCAGAGCGGAGCCTTCAGGCTCCCAGCTAGGATCTGGGATGGGAAGAGAAGGGTCAGTCGGCATTACTGCAACAAGGCACAGAATCCTTCCCTTTCCTCCCTATGTGCACCCTCTGCCAAACCCTAGCTTCTTGGTTTCTGGGTGCAGGACAGGGTGGACCTACATAGTCACAGGGCCAAACATGGAATAAGACTAAACTCCATTTCCTGTTCTCCTACCCAATGCACACTGAGGAAGGCAGAGCCCTGTTTTCTGAGAGTAGGATACATATATACACACCTGTTCTCAGGTAGAAAGGGGTGAAGCCACAGACACACTCACTGGCCGAAGACAGACACACACACACACCCCTTTCCCAGGCAGGCAGTAACACAAGGCACTTAGAGACGCCCCACCTTGCACTGACCTGAGTGCCAGACCCGGGGGTCCCAATCTTCCTTTCCCGGCTTCCCCTCCACTCACCTGGGGCGCTGCGGATCCAGCTGGCGGGGTGTAGTCCGGAGGCAGCTCCCCGAGGGGTGGCCGCCGAGCCATGCTGGCGGGAGTGGGGGGGCTGGGCGCCCCCAGCCCGCGTTATCTGGGAGCCCCCATAGGCTGGTCCGATCCCCCTGTACCGCTCGGGCGCGGGGCGTGGGAGAGGGTTGGGGGCAGGCGCGCCGCGGGGGCCGTGACCCAGAGGCGTGCGAGGCGGACTGAGTCCCGCGTGCCCGCAGAGCTACAGCCCGCGACGCCCGCGCGGCTCGAGGTGGCGACCGCAGTGCCGAGGAAGCGTCTGTAGCCCCAGAAAAAGGGCGAGGGCAGGGGCGACGCTCTCCCATTGGCTGAGGGGCCGGCAAATTACCCAGATCCGCGCGGCCCGGATCTGCTGCTAGGCAACGGCGCCGCGGGGGGTAGCGCAGGAGACCACCCAGGCAGGGCCACCCCTCGCCTGGCCTCGCCTCTCCGCCTGCCCCGGGGGCCCTGGGGAGGAGGAGGGAGGGAGATCCCGGAGAGCGAGGCGCTGGCCAAGTAAAGTAGGGAAAGGCCGATGCTGAGAAAGGCAAGACACAAACCCTTCTTTCCACGCTTCTCTGTCTCCAGTCTTGCCCCGTTCAGTCCACTCTTTGCACCGCGAGGCCAGTCATCTCTCTCAAAAGCAAATCTAACTCCAAAACACAAAGCCCAGTGGAGCACAGCGCTCAGCGTTCTAGCCGTTTCTCCTCCCATCGTCTCTTCACACCCATCCCGTGTTTCTTCCAGCCCCGCAGAGCCACATGGAATTTCCTAAAGGCACCGCCTCGCGTTGCTGCCTTTGTACATGTCGTGGCAGACAACCTTCAAAACTGAACATGCGTCAGTCACCTCTCTTTGAAGCCTTCCTCGATTCCCCCCTCCCTCCGACAGTTTGCTTCTCCCTTTGCACTCCTTATAGCACTCAACTTACGTATTTATTATTGCATTTGTGATAATTCATGTACTTGAAAGTCTGCCTCCCTCACAAGACGACACGTAGATGCTCAATAATTGTTGAGTGAGTCACTGAGAGTTGCGGAAATCAGGGTGGAAAGGCCTGGAAACAGGAAATAGTCCCTTTATTAAACTTTCATCAACTATCCCATCTGAGCGTGCTGTTCCTGCCAGGTTCCTGACTCGATTAACCATGACTGCAGAAGAGGGTAAAATCAATATTCTAAAGTTTGGGAAAAAGAATCTCCAATAAATTCATTACTCAAACACAATTACTACTATCTCCGGCCAATTTCTTGGTCGGTTCTTCTAGACTTGTTTATCATTACATCATAAATGTATTTGGTGTTACTACATAGTCTTTGTATCAACCATTTGGAGACGGTCCTTAGGACAGATTCCCAGAAGTGGGGGTGCTGGGGTTGGGTCTTGTTACAGATTGCCAAACTGCTTTCTGAAAACTTGTGTCAATTACCATCAGCTCCAGAGCCTGGGGAAGGGAATCTAGGCTGAGAGGGTGAACAGCTAACAGGTTTGCAGCTTCCACTGGTCCATTCATGTAGCAAAATGCCTATGGCACATTTTGATGCTATTGGCCAAGTAGTAACTACACATTAAAAGCAGCATATGTTCATAGCACTTTCTTCCTCCCTGTCATGGAGCAGTGAGTGGGTCCTGTTCTGCATAAAAATAGTATGTCCTGAGCCATTCTCTGGAAATGGAAACAGCCCCTGAAGGAGGCTGAATGGGCCTCTACATTGTTCATGGGCTACAGCCAAAGATGGGTATGGCTGGGTGTCACTAGGACTGCAAGTGGAGAAAATTTGCTGTAAGTAGCTCTGAGACCTCCTTCCTTCTAATCAGACTCTGCAAGACATAAGGTCCATGGAGAAGTAGATTTGTAATTGCCTGGGCCTTGGGACTCTGCTTCCACAGCAGGCCCACCATTGCTAACAACTGTGGCGAAGGCCAGCATGTTTATGGGTGCTCCCAGGGTAGGGCCTACCTGGTGAGGAAACATTTTGCCTTGTAGTTCAAAGACCAGAGTGGGAGAAATTGGTTTGGAGTTCCAACCATTCCCACCCAGAGCCTAGAGCTCTCTGGCTTTCGAAATGACTTTCTTCTCCCCAACCAAGTGATTTCCTGAGTGCAGCAGAGCTCAGCCAGGGCGAGCTGAAGCACAGACCCCAGGGAACAGGAAGGGAAGTAGAAGCGCACTTCTCTCTAAAAGCAGCCCGCTTCCCTGTGGAACAGCCTGGGTCACTGTCACTTCTACTGGACCTAGGCATGGGTTCTGGGCTCAAAGTGAAGAAGTTGTGCCAAGAATAACAAGAGAAAAGCAATCTAATTAAATTCATAATTACCAAGGAATGGATCCAATTACTGATTAATGAGACCAACATCCCTCAGGGTTTCTTATGTGTCCTTTGCTAAACTCGGGGGTTGCAGAGGACCTGCTTTTTGGATGTTCATAGCGTAAGGGGGAGCTGGAATCCTCAGGGAGGTTTCCAGGAGTGAGGAACTGGATCAGAAGTGGGAGGAGGACTGGATCTAAAGGAAGGGGTGATTCAAGGTCTGAATCTTCAATTTACTGGCTGTGAGATACTGGGTAAGTCACATAATCTTTGACATTGACATAAGGATTAAATGAGGTAATATATATGGCCAGGAAATGGGAACGCGCTCTCTCTCTCTCTCTCTCTCTCTCTCTCTCACACACACACACACACACACACACACACACACACACACACACACACAGGTTGAGTGAAGTGTGGCTTCAGGGTAGGGTCCATGTGGGAGAAGCCAGGGTAGGCCTCTCTCCTTGGCACTCCCCCAAGCTTCTCCAAGCTTCTCACTCACTAGCTGTGGGCTGGCTTCTGTTATCTGGGCCAGGCAGAGTCAATGACCTTGAGGTGTGGAGGGGCCTGGCAATCCCTACTGACACCCATTACGTTTAGAGGCCAAGCCTGGGAATGTATGCCCCTTCCCAGTTGGTAGCTTTTGGTCAATTGTACCCATCAAGTCTCTAGTGCCAGAGGCTGCAACCAGAGATCAGAGAATGCCTTTCCCCTTGAGGGTGGGGGAAGGAGAGAGGCGAAGAATCCAAGGAGAATCTGCCCATTTATCCATGGCAGAAAAGCCATGATGCAATCCTTCTGGGTGGTGGCAGACGGCTCAGGCCAAGGACAGGTCATCCTGGCCTCCAGGAGAATGTGTTCTCCTGCCCAGCCTTTCCCTGTCAGCTCCCTCATAGCTGAGCTTTCTAGACCGTCTATCTGGGTGGCCCTTCCCACACCCTCTCCCCCTTCCTCAAACACATTTAACTATTTAGAATGCAGCATACAAAGGCCTGGCTTATGTACCTCCTTAGGGGTAGGGATGGCTATGAATAAAAGTATGCTCTCTGCAAATTCTCTGGAAATAGAAACAGCTTATAAACTAGGCTGTGCAGGCCCCTGGATTGCTCTTGGGGCTCCAGGTAGAGACAACCCCTCCCGACCCCTGCCCCCCCGCCCCTCCCCCCCTTCCTTTTGGGAATGCAAAAGGAAGAATAATGTGGGGAAGGACTGGGAAGTGTAGCCTTGGTCTTGGAGGGCAACCTTGGAGGGCAACAATTCCCTTACAGGCTCAGGGAGCTCTTGCCAGCAGGTGAGGGGCAGTGGAGGAGAAATTCCTGGAGTGGCAGCCATCCATCACATTTTGTTGGGCCTGGCAGGGTCCCAGAGCCCTGTTCCTCCACACCTCCCCAGTCCTCCCTGATTTGGCACAGAAGGCCCCTTTCTTCTAGTTCCCCGCAGGGAGCATCGCTGGGAGAGGCAGGGCAGATCCTATCAACGCTTCCTGCCTGGCTCCCCTGGCTTCTGTCCCACGGAGAGGTGGCTGGCCCGTGGACATTCAGTTGTGCACTATGTCTCAGACACACTCAAACCCTCTGTAGCTGCTGCCAAAAAGAAACAAAAACTGTCCCTGCCTTCCGGCAGACAAATAGAGCAAAGAGAAGAGAAATCAAAGCATCTTGGGCACCCGGCCAGTCCTGGAGTTACAGAGACAATAGCAGCAGTGTCCTGAGCTGGGGGCTGCTCCCACCTGGGACTCAAACTCAGCAAGGCCTTCCCCTGGGGAGTCCTTGCCTAGTCTGTTTCCTGGAGTCGGGGCTGCTCATGTGCTCAAGGGAAGGCAGAGGAGAGGTTTTTCCTCCGACTGTCAGGGCTTCCAAGGGCTCAGTGGGGAAGATTGGGAAGAGATATGGGAAGGATCTGGGACAGTTCAATCAATCCCTTCTCCTTCCCCACCCACCCTCCCTCCGAACCGACCCAGCTCTGTCCGTTTTTGTGGTTAAGGAGCAGCCTTCTGGCCTCTCAGACCACCCAGACCTCAAGGGGCAGAAAGCTCTGAGAGGTGACAAAACCCGAGAAAGGGCCTTAAAGTTACCTAGTCCAGCCCTGGACAATGTTACTCAGTGGTCAGAGCACGGGCCCCTGCACCAAAGGGTCGCGGGTTTGCTTCCCGGTCAAGGGTGTTCAAGAGTCAGGGCATGTAAGGGAGGCAACCAATTGATGTGTCTCTCTCACACTGATGTTTCTCTCTCTCTCTCCCTCCCCGTCTCCTCCCTTCTACTCTCTATGAAAATCAATGGGAAAAATATCCTCAGGTGAAGATTAACAACAAAATATTACCCAGTCCAACCTTCCTAGTTTGCAGATGGGGAAACTCAGGGACAGAAGAGAGGCAGTGATTTGGCCAAAGCCAAACAGCATTACAGAGGGTAGGTCTTCCTCCATCCAGGCCAGGCCTGTCTCCAGCATCATCTGGGCCCCACGAATTTAATTTCAGTGCCAAAGGGGACCATTCTGGGCGCCACCACAGCTCTTTATTCTCACTTCTGCTGCAGTTAATCCAACCACTTCTGCTGGGCCATTTCTGCACACTTTCAGGAACCTTGTCCGACCTGAAAGTGGAAAGAATGTGAAGCTCTAGAGCTCCCAAGAAGGCTGGTGGAGGTGGAGCTCCCCCAGGGAAGGAATGCTCTTTTACTCAGCCTCTCACAAGTTCAATGAGAACAACACTAAGATTCAGGCACGATTACTCAAATTAACTTGAGAGACTTCAGATTTTTGAAGCAATGTAGAAACCAGTCTGTTTATAATTACTGCCACCCACAGTGAGCACATCAAGAGAAACCTTTACTTTGTTAATTCCAGGAGGTGAAATCTCACCCCAGGAACCACTTTTATCTTCCACCAAACTCCTTCAGGTTGTAAAAGCAGTACAGGGAGCGGCAAGAGCAGAGTGTCCGAGTTTGGGAGTGGGTGGTGAAGGGAAGGTGGCTAGGACTCCAGAAGAGCTGAGTATGGAAATCTCATTTCTCAATTATCTGAGGCAGGAGCGTCTGTATAATTAGGGAATAGGGGAGTGCACCTGGAGAAGAGTCAAAAGGTTTTCAAACCGTGATATAGTTTCCTGGCTCTTCCTCACCAGGTTGAACAGACCTCATTAAGGGGAGGTGGAAAGGGGTCTGGCTCTCAGACCATGGCTTTCTTTTATTGTTCTTGCTGCCACTAAAACCGGTGAGGATATTGATGGCCAGGCAGGGGCTGCCTTCTGCTTGCTTTAAGGGTCTCTAAGGGACAACAGTTGAGCTGGAGAAATTGGCTACAGGCTGTGAGGGTAGGGAGGGAATGACAGGGGTTAGAGCAGGGGTGGGCAAACTTTTTGACTCGAGGGCCACAATGGGTTCTTAAACTGGACCGGAGGGCCGGAACAAAAGCATGGATGGAGTGTTTGTGTGAACTAATATAAATTCAAAGTAAACATCATTACATAAAAGGGTACGGTCTTTTTTTTTTTTTAGTTTTATTCATTTCAAACGGGCCGAATCCGGCCCGCGGGCCGTAGTTTGCCCACAGCTGTTCTAGACGGTCTTTACCACATGACGCATGAGCACACACTGGAGCCCCGCCAATGTGAGCGTGGCACTACTCTATAAGACTCCAGCATGCCTGTGGGAGCCCTTCTTTATTGGGAAATAAATACAGTCAAACAGGTGGGCCAGCCAACATCTGTAGTTCCGGGGGCCAAGAGGAAGGCGTCTGACTTGCTCAGAATTCAGATCTCCATGAGCTGGTCATTCCCCACGATCACCTCATTTACTCGTTTGGCTACAAAAGAAAAGAAAAAGGTTGTTTGAGAACTGTCAGCAAAAGATGTCATCTTAAACCCAATTACTTTTAATTCTGTGTTCATAAACATCTATTCCTCTCCCAAGTGGCTCTGCTCTTGGGAATACAACTTGCCAAAGGAGGACATCATCTTCCCACACAGCAGGAGGGTCTGCTCCATGCACCTGGCTTTCAGGGAGACTGCACAGGAGGGGAAGGAGCAGGGTCTTAAAGGATGAATAGAGTTTTCTCAGGCAGTGTATCAAAGGGAAGGCACTCTAGGCCACTAGAACAACATGCGGGAAAACATAAACATGTAGGAAAGGAAAACATGAAATACTGTGGCGTGGCCTGGGGATAGGGAATAGGGGAAAAGAGTGAGGAGAAATGAGACTAAATGGTTAAATGGAGATATACAAAGGAAAAAGGGAGTTGCCTCATCTGTAATATGGAAATAATAGCATCAACTGTATAGGGTTGTTGCGAGGACTCAATGAGTTAAAGAATCATTGAGTGCTCCATAAATAGTGGCCATTGTTATTTTCATAGAGTCCAAACCCATAAGCCCCTCCATGACCTGACTCTTTGTACATCTTTAGCTCCATCTTCCACCGTTCTCCCTTTGTACCTAAAGCCATATATACTATTTTATAGCTCTAGATCTCAGCACATGCTATTCCAACATGCCTTACTTCCCCATCACACTCTTATCCCAAATGCCCTAATCAATCACCTTCACTATGTGATTAATGCCTTCCCGCCTGAGCTGTCCATTTTCTGCTTTGTGAGAACATCCTATCTAATACCTGTCTCTATCTCTGTATCATTATTTCATTCTCCTCTACCTCACTGTAAGGCTCTTGAGGGCTGGGGCAGTGTATTTATGCTCATAACCCAGTGTTTAACACAGCTACTGGCACATGAAGGATTTCAGAGATTTGGGATAATGACAAGGATAGGTATGTAAGTGGAGAGCTAAAGTTGAAAGGAAGTGAAGGTTGGTGGAAAAGTTAAGGAACTTACGAAGCTAAATTATGAAGTTGGATGTTTCACTGATGAATATGTTTAAGTCGTCCAAGATGTTTGGAAAAAAATCGGGAGGGAAGAGGAATACTGTGAATCCTCAATATATTTATAGAAGTGCCCTGAAGCTGATCAGTGGTGTGATGAAAGGTGAGGGTTAGCTTTAAAAAAATTTTTTTAAAAAATTGATTTCAGAGGGGAGAGGGAGAGATAGAAACATAAATGATGAGAGAGAATCACTGATCGGCTGCCTCCCACATGCCCCCCACTGGGGTGGAGCATGCAACCCGGGCATGTGCCCTGATTGGGAATTGAACCGTGACCTTCTGGTTCATAGGTCAACACTCAACCACTGAGCCATGCTGGTCAGGCTGTATTTATTTCTTTACTCATCTGTCTCCCTATAATAGATTATGAGCATCTAGACAGCAAGAGGCAAGTCTTATTCATCTTTATAGATACCCTCCTAGAGCCTAGAATAAGTAGGCTGTAACTCTTTGTTGAATGTGTGGGTTTTTTGGGGGGTAAGTGAGAGTATAGATCAGGGGTGGGCAAACTTTTTGACTCGAGGGCCACAATGGGTTCTTAACACTAGATTGCCCAAGGAAGTCATTTTGACTGCTTTTTAATTTCAATTAGAAAAACAATTATGTATATAAGGACACAATGTCTTAGAATTTTGTGATTTTTTGTACAACATATAAATGCATTTATTAATAATTGTAGTTACCTCCCCCTCCTTCATTTCCGGTATATATATGTGTTATACCTATATTGCCCAAAAGCAGTCATTTTGACTGCTTGGGAAATTTTAGACTCTTATTATTGAATTGAGTAAATTTTTTATATGACCAGTTCGGCTCTGTATTGAAATAACAGTTTTCATTTTTTTTCGATTACCGTCACATGATAACATACAAGTACATGATAAATTGTCGATACTTGATAAGTTGCAGTTGCTCAATAAGCTAAACTAATACTTGTTATTCGAATCTTTATGCAGTGATACTTGTTCTAATAAGTTATTTTATTTCTTTTGCGCCCTAAATTCATGAAAGAAATGTCGAATAGAAGTGAGCTATTGGAAAAGCTAAGGAACATAAGTGAAGAGTGCTCCGATATTATTCTTTCACAATGCAGTCATTTTGACTGCTTTTGGGCAATATAGGCATATACTAAATTTCAGTCTTTCTAGTGTTAAACTGGACCGGAGGGCCGGAACAAAAGCATGGATGGAGTGTTTGTGTGAACTAATATAAATTCAAAGTAAACATCATTACATAAAAGGTCTTTTTTTTTTTTTTTTTAGTTTTATTCATTTCAAACGGGCAGGATCCAGCCGTAGTTTGCCCACGGCTGGTATAGATGTAGGGGGAAAACCCCCACATGTATAGAAGAGAAGGCCTCCAATCTCCTTCTCAAAGAGAATTTAATTGACACGTCTGTTGCAGTAGAGCAACGGTGCTTGGGGATCCTGAATCCTCAGGCCTATTTCTCTAACTTTCTCCAGTGGGAAGAAAAACCTAGGTCTACATCTTTCACAAAGTTTGCTGTTATGGCACCGCATTGGACAGGGGCAATCTCATGTGAGAAAAAAAGGACAGGAAAGAGAGGAAGAAAAGGTAACAGTGCAGGAAAGGAAAGAGCTTGAGTCATACAGACTTGAATTCTAATGTGACTTTGAGCAAACTGTTCCAGTCTTTGGGCTTTAGTTTCCTCACAAAGTTGTGGAGGTTCAGTAGGATAATTGATGTAAAGAGCCCAGCACAGTGCTTTGATACGTATTAAACAGACATTACAGAATGGGGCTGGGTCTGGTCTGTGTACTCGTGCCCTGGGAGGAGCTCCTTTTTGGACTTCAGTGAGAGGAATGGGGAGGAGACCCAGACAGTGCTCAGGCTGCCAGATTCCCTAGGGCTGGGCTGGTCTTGGAGTGTGATTGTCGATCAGGCTCCACTGTTAAGATAAGACTGACCAGAAAAAAACAAAGGTGATGCCGTTCTAGTTAGCTTCCTAGGGCACCTCCAAAGGCTACACTTTACCCTTTATCCCTCTATAGCCACGCGTCAGCCTCATTTGCTTATATCCAGACTCGGACATTTGCTCTTCCTTCATCCAGTCTCTTCTTAGTCTCCAGGGACACTGGGCTGCTCTGAAGACAGTCCCAGCTCCATCTAACATTCTTCTTGGCCCTCAGTGCTCCAGACCAGAGGGGCTAATTATCTGCTTGGCTGGGGTAGACAAAGCCTTTTGTGCTCTGTCAGACTCTAAACACCTGAGCCTTCACAGGTTCGCCCTCCCTACTCTACACTCTGCCCTCTGGTCTGCTCTTACTCTGGGGGTAGGAGAAGAGAGAGACTAGATCTGGTATTTTCGGGGTGGATGTATTTTCATGGAGATTCAGTAAAGGTGGGGGGAACCTGTAGGGGAGCAACGAGCAGTTCTAGTTCTGCTTGACCAGGGTGGGAAGCAGGCTCAGTACACACTATAGAAAAGTTCTGGGCTAGAATCAGGTTGGGAAGATTTCAAAGGTAAGAGTACAAGGGAGGATGGTAAGTTGGGGAAAAATCAATGGGATAGAAGGCAATGACAAGTCACCTATGAAGAGCTGCACTTCTGGGAAGCTAGGAAGGATTCCTATTAGCCAGAACCTGCTCTATGCACCCATGAGGTCTACTTTCATGGACAAAAGACTGATCACTGTGGTCACAGGGAAGAGACCCAAGTTCTCTCACTGACAGTGATAAGAGACTCAGAGTCTCATCAGTCTCCCAGGTTTTAACTTTGTTGGCTATGGCTTTCTACTGGCTTAAGCAGAAAGAAGGTCAAACTTGGCTACCAGGATTTTTGTCAGAAATAATCTCATTAACTGAGCATGATGGGGTTGGGTGAGAAAAGCCAGAACTGTTAGAGAATAGTTTGTTCTGGTAATGTTAGAATAGAGTAGAGCCTGCCAGTGTGGCTCAGTGGTTGAATATCAACCAAGGAACCAAGAGGTCTCTGCTCGATTCCTAGTTGGGGTACAGGCCTGGGTTGTGGGCTTGATCCCCAGTGGGGGGCATGCAGAAGCACAGGCAATCGATGAATTTTCTCTCTCTTCAATGTTTCTATCTCTCTCTTCCTTCCTCTCTCTCTAAAAATCAATAAAAAAGCATATGAAAAATTAGAATAAGGTAGAGAGGCTTACACTGGGTTATGAGAGTCACATTTTTGGTAAAAGACTGTTATAGATGTAGTGACTCTGATATATAAGTGATTGGAATTTGGAGAGGGGGCATTACTTATGAGGGTGAATGTTTTTTCCTGAAATCCCTCCATGTGAGGAAGACCGACTGGGGATTTTACCATCTATTAAGCTCTTTGCTGGTGAACACCTGAGTTACTGATGTTTGTCTGGGTCATCCATATTAACAGGTCTTGAGTGCGGCACTGATGGCTAGGAATTTGCTTTATCCATACAGTTCAGCCTCAAAGAAAAGTGATAGTGGGAACAGGTGATTGGCCAGAAGTCCTTGTAGCAGGACGGCACTGTTAGATGTACAGATCCCCCAGCATTGAGGACGGAGCAGAAAGTGCTGGGGTTCTCTACTTTAGAGTCTAGATAACTTCCCTGGTCACCTCTCGTTCAGGAGAACCAGTAAGGAGTCTCCTTGCTAAAAAACGGGCACAGAGTGTTAGTTAGTGTCAGAAAGCCCCCAAGACAATGAAGCAGCCCTATGCTCCCTGATAGGAGATGCCCTGCCTCAGGCCCTCAGTACCTGGCATTCATGCATTCTGCACATGGAATAAAAAGGGTCCTTGCAACTTAAAAGGAAGGAGTACCATCACTTTGTTGGAAATGGGGAGGAGAAGCAGCAGAAACTGTGAAATTCCAGGTTCCAGCACACAAGAAAGGAGGGACCTCTAGGGTGCTGGCAAATGGAGTTCACTCATTCAAATAGGCCTATAGAGTAAACTCTTTTTAAAAACAACAAAAGGAAGCAGCTCCTGGCTCCAGGAGGGACTGAAAGAAGAAAGCGCTGGGGGATGTTTCTACTTTTTATTGAGCAGGAGATAGTTTACAAAGACAAAGAGGCAGGAAGGAGGTGGAAGAAACACTATGTGGGGGTCACAAACCCAAACAAGAGAACAAACCACAGAGAAATACAATGAGGAGCTGGGAGGGGCCAGGATGACAAAGCAGCTCCACAGACCAGATGAACAGCGGGCCCCTTCCAAGGCCTTCCACGGAGTCAGAGAAAAGGCTGGGGCTCTGAATCCTATTTTAAAGAAACAACCAACAGGTCCCAGCTGTCCAAGAAACAAGTTTCTCTGAAACCTCAGGGTAGGCTCATATGTTGAGCAGGAGGAAAGAGCAAGGACCCGAGGTTCCTGAAGATTACAAAAAGCTTGTATGTGAAGGCCAAATACATTTTTCCTATTGGTCCGGGAAAGATGGACTAAAAGGAGAAATGGGGTATCATTGATCAAATTCTGCTGGGCAAGCCAGGAGTGGCTTCTTCCTTTTTTTTTTTTTTAGAGAGAGAGAGAATGGAAGGGAGGGAGGAGGACAGGAAGAGAGAGAGGGAGAGGGAGAGAAACATCGATGTGAATGAGACACATTGACTGGTTGCCTCCTGCATGGCGCCAGGGATCAAATCTGAAACCCAGGTATATGCTCTTGACTGGGAATAGAACCCATGACCCTTGTGGGTTGATGCTCTAAATACTGAGCACACCAGCCAGGGCTCCTTTGGCCTATTTTTTAAAAAATCCTCACCCGAGGATATTTTTCCATTGATTTTTTAGAGAGTGGAAGAGAGAGGGAAAGACAGAGAGAAATATCGATGTAAGAGATACACATCGATTGGTTGCCTCCTGCACAAGCCCAACCAGGGCCTGGGCTGGGGAGGAGCCTGCAACCAAGGTACATGCCCTTGACTGGAATTGAACCCCAGATCTTTTGCTCTGCAGGCCAACACTCTATCCACTGAGCCAAACTGGCTAGGGCTCGTTTGGCCTTTCTAAAGGGTATCTGGCAATAATTCAGGCTGAAGACCCTGTTTTGTTACCTACTAGTTAGGCATCTTGGGTAAATTTCACTTTTCAGTCTCAGTTTCCACTTCACCAAATGGGTCAATAACGAATCTTATTCAGAGGACTTCTGTAAGAATCCAGTAAGACAGTGAATGTGAGAACATTTTAAAGTTTTAAACAGTTTTAGGCCCACAGCATTCCAGGAGGGCAGTGCCATCCATGCTTTCAGAGTTGGCGTTTCAGCTGCTGTCCAGCCCTCTTACCTGGGCTCATATCTGTGGTGCTGCTGCTGACCAATACTCCTGCTCAAAGGTTTTCTGGGTGGAGTCTGTCTGCCAGTAATTGAACTAAAAATACCGGCCTTCCTTGCAGCTAGAACATAGGCATATGACACTGGCTTGGCCTATCAGGTGCAGCCACCCCAAATCTTGGGCTGGAAACTAGTGATACAAAGAAGTAGGAACTAGGCAGCATCCACTTTGGAGTTGCTGGGTGGTTGGAGAGCTATTCCAGTGTTCAGTGAGATGGCAGCAGTGTCTACATCAGAATGGTTTGGGGTATAAATCTTTGCTATAGTCCATTTTCTAAGCTTAATTTGGCAGCCATTGTAGAGCTGTGAGCTAGTTTCTCTTCAATGAATTAAATTTAAAAAAATCCTCACCTGAGGAGATTTTTCCATTGATTTTTAGAGTGGAAGGGAGGAGGAGAGACACAGAGAGAAACATCAATGAGAGAGACACATGGATTGGTTACCACCCCCCCCAGTACCCTCCCAATGCAACCCTGTCGCATGCACCCCGACCAGAGCTGGGAATGGAGCCTACAACCGAGGTACGTGACCTTAACCGGAATCAAACCTGGGACCCTTCAGTCTGCAGGCTGACGCTGTACCCACTGCGCCAAACCAGCTAGGGCTACGTTTTTAAAATATGTTTTTATTGATCTTTAGAGAGAGAGGAAGTGATAGATAGAAACATCAATGAGAGGGAAATATCATCTATAGGCTGCCTCCTGCATACTCCTGGGGATCAAGCCTGAAACCCGGGTATGTGCCTTGACTGGGAATCAAACCAATGACATCTTGATTTATGGGTCAATCCTCAACCACTGAGCCACACTGGCTGGGCTGGTATGTTTTACATTTTTTTAAAAGATAATTATTTATTGTTGAAAGTATTACATATGTTTCCTTCCCCCTGCATTGCCCCCCTCTAGTCTGTCCCCACCTCCTGCCCCAGGACCTCACCCATTGTCTGTCTCCAAGGGCCATGCATATATGCATTATCCTTGGTTGATTACTTCCCATGCTTTAATTTTTTTTGATACATGTATGAGTTTATCTGTAAGATAAATTCCTGAAAATGGAACTGTTAAGCCAAATTTAAAAAATTTGACAATGATGTTAATCCCCCTGCATGAGCAAGCAGCTTTACCAGTTTATGTCCTCACCTCTGATGTATGCATGTGCTTGTTCCCCAATCCTCACCAGCACTGAGCACCATCTGTGCTGGTGTGATAGGTAAAAAGTGGCATCTATGACTGTAATTTGGGTTTTGTTTACCTTTGGCTTCAATCCTCTGGCCACTTCCAATTAGGCAGTCCTTGATGTCTGCTCCCTTCTCGATCACAGCATTGTTGCAGATGACACTGCCCTGGATGTTGCTTCTGTAACACAGTAGCCAAGTCAGGAAGTGTTTATGGCTCTCATCACCACCCTCACCACTATGGGCTGGGGGTTCTGGCTCCTCCACAGGCTAGGAGTAGCTGGTCACTCCAGTTAATGACTACATGCCTGAACTTATTACTAGAAGCAGAATGGCTCAGCTGGGTCAAGGGAGGACCTGGCTTTAGGGAAGTCCAGAGTTTGGATATGCTCACAATGACCTTCTCCTTAAAAGCCCGAAAAGAGCACACTCTGACTTCAGTTCTTTAGGCACCCCAGAAATAAACTCCACCCAATATTTCCTCCTTTATTTGGAGGTGGAAGCTGGTGCTGGTCCCTGGGCTGACTCATCCCTCCGCCTCTCATCTGGGAATATATACACCAAGATTCATTTGATATATTTGCAGCTCAGATCCTGCAATTTTCCTAGGAGATCAGCTATGGAAAATAGTGGGTGCCCCACAACTCATCACAGACTCTGGTTAAACCATATGCATTTAGGAAAAAACGGATGCTTTTCAAACCAGCTCCATGCCACATTAAAGACTACTCCAGATCCTCAAGCCACACTCTCAAGAGTAGCAACACTTGCTCTTAACATTTAAATGTGTTTAAAGAGCATCTTCCTGGCTCCTGAAATCTTCACTAGCATTAATTCATACCTACTCTATGCCAGGTACTATGCTAAATACTTATGTATATTACAGGAGTGACAAATCTAGCCATTTATCAGAAAAATCACCTGGGCAGTGTTAAAAATAGCAATCAAAACCACTCTCCATGTCTGGGCCCCCATCAATCTTTTTGGTAGGTCTAGAATGAAGGGCCTTATGCATTTAATTAGGGGGAAAAATGCTTCCTAGATGATTGTGGGAGTATCATTTTTACCTCAGATGTAGTAAAAATAATAACCACATTTTGTAGATAAGGCAACAGAGATGTTCAACCATTTACCCAAAACCACATAACTACCAAGTAGCAGATCAAATCTAGGTTTGCCTGACTCCAGAATCCATACATTTAACCATAATGTCATACAAATAAATCAAGGGGAGAAAAGGCTGGAGGAAGCCTGGACCTGCCAGGTTGCTTTTCTGAGCTGAGATGGCTCCAGAAGGATCTCTGTGTTAACGGGCGATATTCAGTGCCCTAAAGAGTCAGGGCAGCTGGAGGGGAGAAGGAGGTGAGAAGAAGGGTGTGAGCATCCACTGAAGCAAAACAAACAAAAATAAAACACCAATTAAGGAAAAATCCTACGAAACCTATGAGGAAGGGGGGATAGAGAAGGGACAGTCCAAGTACTGAAACTGTCGATGCACAGGCCATTAAAAAAGATCCTCCCAAATGCCAACACTTTAGTAAAATGTGAAAAATAAATATAGCACTTCATGGCATTTCAGAATCTTCTTTATCTCTGTTCTTCAAGTCGGTCGGAAAGCAGTGAAAGGCCAAAGCCACAGCACCTCTGTGGTATGGGCTAGAGACGGGCAGAGACAGTATTAGTGTGTGGGTGTTTTTTTTTTGGATCAAAGTCAGGATACACTCACTGGACAGGCATTAAGAGACTTTCTAGAGCTTTCCAACTCTCCCTCTGCTTCAGACGAAGCAGTTCAGTCAGAAGTTAGAGTGGTTCTTGTCCTTGGGGAAAATTCTCCCCCAAAGAACAGTAATGAAGTATAGAAAGCCTCAGATACACAGGCGCCTGGGACAGAGCAGGCTTGCAACTGGCTACTAGTTTGTCACTGAAAATCTCCTTTCTTTTTCCAAGGTGAGAGAGGGGATGCTCCTGCTCAGTGGTTTTAGGAGCCTGTGACAGCATGCTCTGGAGCTAGGCAAGAGGTAAACATGGTCAGCAGACAAAAAACAGCCAACAGAAACTCAAGCAGCCATAATTAGACACTATTAACTGGCTACTTTGGAATCTGGGATATAGGTGGGAGCCATTTCTGAAAGGAGGAGGCTGGAACGTTTGAGGTCAGATTCCCATAGCAATGAGTTCTCCTTGGGTTTAGCAGGTCTGAATGAGGTCTTCAGAGCCTCCCATATTGCTTTTCTCATCTGGTTTGTGTGTAACACCCTCTGGACACATAGAGTGTCTGCAGATGTGATGGAAAAAGTTGGGTTGATAGATGGGAAGCTGGGCGCTCTCCTGAGGCTCTTGGCCAGTGGATCTGTGGAAGGCTTCGAGATGAACACCTGACAAAATGCTCAGTGAGTGTGAAGCTCTTTTCTACCACTCGCTTCTTCCATTGTTCCTCATCATCATGCTGCAGTTACAAGTCACCTCCATTAGCAAGGCTGAGGTTCTCTGGAAAAATTTCAAGTCAATATACCCTTCCCTCTGTCCAGAAAGAAACTCCAAGATTAAGGATTTTACTGGAAGTGTGTGCGTTTGCTCATGGTAGAGAGGAAGGACAGATACTACTGTATGAAACAAGCCCCCTCATTGTTGCCAATCCACAGTAATGACTGCCTTTTCTGCTCAGTGCTTAAGGTGTGGGGGAAGGTGCCAGAACTACAGTTTTTGCATCTAGTTTTAACTCTCAACTGGGTACTAAGGACTTTGCTGTGCTAATGCCTGGTTGTGGTATCTAAGAAGCTGCTCAGAGATAGCCAAGATTAATGCTATTTTTGTTTGTTTGTTTGTGTGTGTGTGTCTATATGTTTTTTTGTCAATCTTTACCTGAAGTCCACTGATTTTTAGAGTGGAAATGAGAAGGGAAGGGGAAGGGGGGGGGAGGAGAGAGAGAGAGAGACAGAGAGAGAGAGAGAGACAGAGACAGAGACATCGATGTGAAAGAGGCGCATCGACTGGTTGCCTCCCCCACATTCCACAAGTGGGGCCAGGGATTGAACCGGCAACCCAGGTATGTGCCCTTGACAAGGAATTGAACCCAAGACCCTTCGGTGCACAGGCTGTACTCTAACTGCTGAGAAACACTGGCCAGGGCGATTAATGGGGTTTTGGTCCTCATTTCTCCTTGGTGGGGTTAAGTTTTAAGCACAATTGTAGGTCTTGGTAAATTATCCTGCTAACCTTAATGCTTCAATGAAGAGGAGGCCGTGAGGAAACACAGAGGTCTATGGTAAGATTATTGCTTGGCCAGGCACACCAGGCCACACACAAAGCACTTTATATTCATTATGTAACTTAGTCCTTTTAGCAAACCTGTAGGGTAGTGGTATTTACTCTAATTTTTACAGAGAAAATTGAGGCTCGCAGGGGTTAAGCAATGTGCCCAAGCTTACACAGTGGTGACTCTGTGTCACGGGCTTCTGCCTTAGGTGTTGACTTGGCAGTATTTGGCAAAGAGCCATGAAACTTCTCAGTAACTCCGAGGACAGGCAGGTTCTTCTCTAGGGATTAGTTGGCAGGCTTTCTAAATTTACTCATAACCTTTTCTAGACATGTGACTAAAGATCTGACTCACTACTTCAGTCTAAAGATTATGGCTGAGTCATCCATATCATCCCAGATACCAGAGCCTCCTAACCTTAGCTCAGTGATTTTTGTTTAAATCCTCACCAGATGTTGAAGGATGGAGGGAGGGAGGAAAAGTATAAGGGAGGAAGGGAGAAAGAAACATAGAAAAATATCAATTGGTTGCCTCCCATATGCACTCCGACTGGGGATCAAACCTGAAACCTAGGTATGTGCCCTGACCAGGATCAAACCCTTGACCTTTAGGTTTACAAAATGATGCTCCAACTGAGTCACCTGGCTAGGGTGGGTAGGATCTAGATTTTATTGTGTCTGACAGATATTCTTTTTTTAAAAAAAAATGTATATTTTATTTATTTTTTTTACAGAGAGGAAGGGAGAAGGATAGAGAGTTAGAAACATCGATGAGAGAGAAACATCGATCAGCTGCCTCCTGCACACTCCCTTACTGGGGATGTGCCTGCAACCAAGGTACATGCCCTTGACTGGAATCGAACCTGGAACCCTTGAGTCCACAGGCCAACGCTCTATCCACTGAGCCAAACCGGTTAGGGCCTGACAGATATTCGTTAGTCTGTGTATGGGTATGTGGCAGTTAACCTAGTGTTTTCATTTTGTTGAGTTTCAAGGAGTGAAGTACTCAGCTCTTTTTCTAGAAGTAGACAGGGCTCTCTTGACAGATACTCAGCCAATTACAGTACAGGGATTTAAACCAGGGATCTCTATTTTTCATTCAGTAAATACTTACACAGTATCTAGTATAGAAAATGTACAGTACTAGAAGTTAAGGAATACAAATACATATAAGAAGTATTTCTGTATTCAAGGAATTTATAGTCCTGTTGATGAGAAAAGAAAGAGGCAGTTAAATGCCATGTGAACATAAGTTAAGTGTTATGGGCGCCCAGGGAACACAGAAATGGGGAAAATAATTTCTGGCTAGGACAATTCACGAAGGTTGCATGTAGGAGCTATAACAGCCGTGGGCAAACTATAGCCCGTTTGAAATGAATAAACCTAAAAAAAAAAAAAAAAGACCGTACCCTTTTATGTAATGATGTTTACTTTGAATTTATATTAGTTCACACAAACACTCCATCCATGCTTTTGTTCCGGCCCTCCGGTCCAGTTTAAGAACCCATTGTGGCCCTCGAGTCAAAAAGTTTGCCCACCCCTGAGCTAGAATATGTATTGGACCTTGAAAGATGGGTAGGATTTATACAGATAAAGATCTCTAGAGAGAGGCAATTCAGGCAGAATGAATGTCAGGAATGAAGGATAGTAGAAAAGTAAGGGACCCAATTGGCAGGGCAGTCAGTTGAGTGTAGGTGAAGAGAACATTCAGGGTAACAATGAGCAGCAGTATCATCTTGTTTAGCTCTGAGGGCTCCACTTGCTGCTTGCAGAAAGCATGGAAAATCTAGGTGAAAACCTGGCTTCCTGGCCTGTCTACATGTGAAGGTACTATCCTCGACTACAGCTTGGGTCACTCACCTTGGACTAAGAGGAAATGCAGATGGACTACAGGGCCAAAGATGCAGAACACAGACGGACACTAAA